GTCGACTCCATGGTAGTGGGCTTGTCCATTAATTTTGGTATATTTCCCTTCTATAGCACGGGTAAAATTGCTACTAGAACTGAACGTGTCTGACTCGCTGTTTGTTCCTGGAGGGGAAGGGCCACGCCAATCTTGGTGGCACTCCCCTGGGTTTGGCTTGTTACTAGTTCTGGGCACAAACCTCTCTGGTCCCACTTCTGAACCCCTGGTGCTGACCAGCCTTACCCGCACTCCAGCTGGCATGGCCACCCACTGTGCCAAAGGCAGAGAGGCCTACAGGCCAGAGCCAGGGCACGAAGCTGGCTGCCTCCTCCCCTCGTCCTGGCGGACCATCCCGAGACTCACGGCCGGAGCAATTGGTCACACTCAGCAGTGACCGGCTGGATAATGCGTCCTCGAACTCCCTGCTCCGCTTCCTCTGCCCCACTCTCCTGGCATTAGGTCCCTAATCAGGAAGTGGCATGGGTGTCTCTCGGGGCCCTCAGCAGGGGTGGCTGGCCTCAGCAGCCAAGTGCACCTGGTGCTCCAGCACCCCGCCACCTCGATTTCCCTCCCAACTCTCCCTCGGCCCAGGAGCCACACTGCCGTCTCATACCTTGTGTTCCCTCGAACCCGTGTGTTCTGCGAAGAAAGACCAGGCTTTCTACTCCCCTAGAGATTGGTTTGGAACTGTATCTCACTCAGTCTTCCCAGGAGCGCTCAGCACGAGGCTCTTATCCCCATTTCATAGCTGTGTGAGACCACGGCCAGCCATGCTGGAGACATGCCCATTGTCCCCTAAGATGTGCGAGACGTGGGACGTGAACTCCGGAGCCCTGAGGACACCTGTGGGTTGGAGGTGACTGGGGAGCTAATCATGGTGGGCATGAGGATAAGGATGATGCTCTGAAACTGATGGTGGTGATGACCACACAGCTCTCTCAGAGCATCTAAATCACCGAATTAGATTGTATGTGAATTATAGGTCAGTAAACACTGTTTAAAAGAAGACTCAAACAAACAGAAGTCAATAGAGTTCACTGAGCCATGCTTTAAAACAGAGGCAAATAAACCCCCCAAACACCCAGCAGCGATGTGTGCCGTGGACGCAGGTGAAGTGGCAGGCATCCTTGCCAGCGGGGGCAGAACAGGGAAAGCAGAGTCAGGAGGGAGGGAGCGAGGGGGCAGTGATGGAATGTAGTAGAAGGCCACGTGGCACAGGACACGTAGGACACAGGGTGCAGAGTGCCAGAGAAGGACTTCCTAAATCGTGCTGGTCAGAGGCTCCACCAGGGCCCTCAAATGGGCCTCGGGGGCAGGTCTTCCCAAAGGTGGGCATTCATCATTTTTATGTCTACGTTCAGATCACTACTAAGTACTAATATTGCCAAGCCTTTGCCATGCTTGCCACGAGCTAGCAAGAAGACTAATTACTGGACGCCAATAATAAATGATTATGATGTTATTAAAAACGGCATCAAGCTAGGATTAATAGGCTCATCAATGGTCGGGAATTGGGTTTAACAAGGTCCTGTCAGGGCCAGCGGCCTTGATGGATATCAGGATGCCTACAGTGGTGCCAGGCCACGTGCAAGCATGGGACAAGGGCCCGCGAGGGGCCGCTGGTGAAGGCCTGCTTGCCGCCGGGTGTTTGCTGCCAACATCCCAGGTGATGGCTCCCCAGCACCCTCGGGCCCATGGGGATGCCTCTGGTGGCTAGACCAGTGTCAGCCCTGCTTGCCTCCACTCTCCCTGTGCCGTCCCCTTTCCCTCTGCAAACGACAGTCTCAGAACACCCCCACGGCCCCCCCACCCCAGAGCCCAGATTCCAGAGCCCCATGGGCGGGGGGGATAAGGTGGAGATGCCTCCAGGGCCTGCTGACTTCATTTCCACAATAATTACAGTTATTACCCGGAATTGTGTGCACTGAATCCTACCCTCCAGAACAGCCTCACCACTTGTCTCGGAGGCTCACCACAGCTGAGAAGTGTGCTGAGCAGAGATTCTTCACACTGGTGAGGGGAGGAAGCTGGGACAC